CAGCTGCCGGTATTTTACCGTAAATGTCACCGATTTTTTTTTACAGTGTAGATATCACAAAAAAAATTCTAAATCAGTATTGTTCCTTGTTTTAGTACGTAGATGCTTTTAGTGAAAAACATCACGTGATACACTTACCCGAGAAGCAAAACTGTGTAAAAAAGACTTATTTTCAATGGCAATATTAATTAACTAATATATATTTTTATATCATTAGCAAATAGTTTTCTATTGTGTCAAGCATACTTTTATTTTATATCATTGGCGTAATGCGTTTAGCATATATTTTTTAATTTATTCGTTTTGTATTTTATTTTTATATCATTACCAAATGTTTTTTTTAATTGTGTTTAGCATATTTTTAAATTATACTTTTGTATCGTGAGCAAGTAGTTTTTTTTATTGAGTTAAGCATACATTTCTTTTTATTTTATTTTTATATTATTAACATTTTTTTGTATATAGGCTACTAGTATTAAAAAATATATATTTTTATCTTTAACAAATAGTTTTTTATGTGTTAACCACACATTTATATATATATATATATATATATATCATTATAAAAAAAAATTTATTGTTATGCATAATTTTTTATATCATTAGAGAAATGTTTTTAATGTGTTAAGCATATATTATTTTATTTTATTATTTGTATTTTGTTTTTTATCATTAGCACATTTTTTATTAAGCATAATTTTTTGCATCTTTAACAAATATTTTTATTGTGTTAAGCATACATAATTTTATTTTATTTTTATATCATTATATAATTTATTTTATATATATAATTTTCATATCATTTTATATAATTAGCATTTTTATGTCATTTTTTATGTTTAATGTGTTGATGCATTTTTTATTTTGAATTTAATTTTATTTTTATACCATTAGTAATTTTTTTAATGTAAGCCTTAATTTAATTTCGTTTTTTTTTAAGCATACACATAAATTTTGTTTAAGTGAGTTTTATTTTATTGTGTGTACCAAGACTTGCAGTCATGAAAGGTTTTGGATGTAAACTAGGTTTTTTATTCGCATGTCTATGTCAGCAAACAATGTATCCAGTGTAGTGCACTGTTTTAACATGGAGTGCATTGAAAGTGTTTTCAGTGTTTCTCATCACAGTGAGCAGAGCTGGCATCCTCATGCAGGGCTTGCGGTGTTTAACTGGAGGTCAGTGTGCCGTTGTGAGAGTGTCGTCTGTGTGTGTGATAGTCATTTGGTCCTGAGGCCACGTCTGACACGAGCTGCTCTGAAGCCTTGGACAGCTGCTAGGAAAAACTGACCCGCTTGGTCAAAATGAATTTTCCATGAGAGCAGAGAGATGCTGCAAGCCTGTGAAACCGCTGAGAGGAGTGAGACCGCAGATGAGCAGAATCAGGAAACGCATTCTATTTATGATCCATATTTAATAACTGTCACCGATGGGAGTGGAACCAATCTAATCCGTGTAACATTTGCAGACCAGATATTCACCCCAAAATCAAATGAAAGAAAAAAAGTAAATATATTTTGCATAAAGGAAATTAATATTTTGAGGATACGATGCATTTTTGCATTGCAACATTATTTTCGTGACATTTAAGCCAGATTTAGGCTGAATTAAATAAGATACATATTGTATTACAGCGTTTTTGTATGAGGCATTAAAAAGTCATGACATTTATGAGAATTTAAAGAGAAACAACACTGAGAATCACACACACACACACAAAAAAGTGAAATATCTGTATTACAGTAATAAAAAATTGAGGAAAATTTGCTGAATTTTTTTGAAAATATCAAAATTCAAAATTATTATTATTTTTTAATTATAAAGCTTTACAACTAAATAAATACAATTACAATTTTATAATAAATATATTTTATATTATAAATATTTATTTCAATTCTAAATATACATTATTTTATTATTATTTTACATTAATTTTATTATTAAAAAAACAAATAAATACATATATAATATATTAATTATTTATAAAAAGTATTTATATTTGTATATTAATGATTAAACTAATAAAATACAATTATTTATTATATATATATATATATTATATATATATATTTTTTTGTAATATATATTTAATTACTTACCTACCAATACAATAAAAAAATTTTTTTTTTGCAGTATCCTTTGTGGGTCTATTTTTGGGTCTTGACTGCAGTCACACAGAGAGGGAGAAACCAATGCTAAGGTCATCAAAGGCCACGTGTCCAAACGAATTCTATGATATTTTGATACAAATCCATCGGTCACTTGGTCTTAAAGGCTGATATAAAACAATATTTGGCCCATTGTTTCCTCCATGTGTCCTGCTAATGTTAAATCATTTTTTAAAAAGTTATTACTTAACACACACACACACACACACACAGAGACACAGACTCTCACACACACACACACACACACACACACACAAAACAAAAAAATCATCATGTTTATGCATTTACAGAATTGATAATTCTCTCTTAATTGTGTTGCTTCAGTTCATGCTAAGATTAATGAATGTCAAAGACATTAAGGACTTTTTATATCCGTGTAACATCTGTGTCGTGAAGCAAAACCAATTGAGCGGACAGCAGGGGAGGAGGTCAGTCTGTCTGTAGAGGATTACACGAGTAACCAGCGGAATAGAGATAGACAGTGACCCGCAGCGCTTCTCTCGACTCTCTTTAGACGGGGTTTCTCTGGGTGGAGTCGCTTTTCCTGGAACTATCGAGCAGCTTTTCCTGTTGTGCTAACTTTCCTTACAGCCTCTCTCTCCCTCTGAGTCTCTCTCTCTCTCTCTCTCTCCCTCTGAGTCTCTCTCTCTCTCTCTCCCGCTCTCTCCCTCTGACTCTCTCTCCCTCTGAGTCTCTCTCTCTCTCTCTCTCTCTCTCTGTGAGTCATGTCCGATTCGCCAAACGACTCGTTCATTTGAGTCGGATCCTTTCTCGAGCCAGTTCGAAAAAACCGATTCGATTCCGTTCGATTCGTCAAGGTCTTTCGGACTCCTGGTGATTAATCATAACATATAGAAATCTTCAGTTAATCAATTAATTGACCACTTAGTCTTAAATCAACAATTAACTGTGTGTGTGTGTGTGTGCACATATAGTATTTTTAACAGAATCTAGACAAAAAGGCTCAGATATAATTTTTTCCCTTTATATATCTTCCATCCTCATTGACTTTATTATTATTTTAACATATGAAAAGTATGAAATCAGAAGTCATATTTTGGTGTGATGGGAGCGTAATTTGTGTTAAAGGAGGTCGGATAATTATAAACCAACATAAGTTCATTGCTAAACTAGTATTAATATAATAAATGCTTTCTTTGAGCTTCCTTATTGTGGCTAAGATTGAACAATTCATCAAATATGAGTGTTTGGTGTCTACCCCGGGGTTCGGGAGTTACGGGTGGTTAAATTCGCAGTCCGGCGCCGACCAATCAAGCGATCCCGGGGGGCGGCGTTCAAGAGGGCTCCTCGAGCTGAAGAGATCCCCCGAATTTGGTGGAGATCCGCCGGCGTGTTCGTGAGATAGTGACACCAGTCAACACTTTCACTTCAGTAAGGAGGTTTCTTGTTCAGGCAGCAATCAAGCGTTGGCTTATTCAACCCTAAGTGCCCTGCGAAGTGGACTTCACATGAAATTCCGCCATGATTCCAGTTCCAAGGGAATGTACACGTTACAATCAAAGGGCATTAAAGTGCGCGAGACGCGAATTTATATTGTATTTATTTACAGAGGTATATTATGTCACACTTCTCTAGTAAGTTTGAAGTGTGAAGACAGTAGCGCAAATCCGTGAATGAATGTTCCGAAGTGAAATAAACTTCAAAGGAATAAAGTTGAATGGAATTGAATTGAATTAAAGTTGAATAACCTTCAACTTTACTGTTCAGTGCACTGATGTCAGACTCATTTTGGATAATAAAGTTTATTGTTAAATTGTTAAATGCCCTGCCTCCATTACATATCTCTGTCATGTCATTATAAGTGTTTGATCACCACATTTGAGTGATCATTGCAAAAAATCTGTTTATGTATATACTGTATTTTATATATAGTACCAGCCAAATGTTTGGACCCTCGAATGGGAAAGTGTCCAAACTTTTGACTGGTACTGTACTATAATATACACAAAGAATATCGGCCGATATATCGATATACTCCCTAATATCGGTATCGGTATCGGCCCCGAAAAACCCATATCGGTCGGGCTCTAATGCAAACCTTGGAAAAAATGGCTTTTTCCCTTTTTGTGAACTGTCTCCACTGGCATACAATGCAACCAGGATTGATGAAGTCAACAGATACATAGACCTACCAATCTCTGTATAAAAATAACATAATGATGAAGTCACTTACAAAGTCTGTAATTTGGCTCAAAATCTCAGGTGAAAACTGTATTTTTTTTCCCTTCTCAACAAAATTGTGGATTACTAGGTATATATGCATCCATGGCATGTAATATTTTGGTTTTCGTCATTGTTTATGTTTACAAAATCAAACATTTTAGCCAGGGAATTTTCTAAAATTTGGTTGATTTGACACAGAATGACCCAATATATAAAGGTAATTTAAAAAATATTGGGAAAATGGTCAAGCAACGTCTATTGGATCATTTGAGATGGACCCCATCCAGTAAGAGGACAGAGCTTTAAACTGAACGTGGAGCAGCTCAGATCAAATGATGATGAGAAATGTTTGACTGACTTTGGATTACAGACTGTGTCAAATCAGAGCACAGTTTGAGACATTGCTGAGATTTCTTCTGAAACTCGAGAGGTCTTTTACTCGGGAGAAACTTTGGAGTATTTCAGGAGAAAAATTCAGGAGAATCGACTGAGATAAAGAGGTCTCAAAATCAAATATGGCTTTTCTTTCCTGCAGCTTATGATTATGAAATATAAATGAGTCATGAAAGCTTTGAGTGGTTTCTGAGGCAATATACACCCCCGTTTAAAAGTTTGAGGTCGGTAGTGTTTATAAAAGAAGTCTCTTCTGCTCAGCAAGGCTGCATTTATGATCAAAAATACAGTAGAAATTGTGAAATATGTTTACAATTTAACATATCTGTTTTCTATGTGAATGTGTTAAAATGTAATTTATTCCAGGGATCAAAGCTGTATTTTCAGCATCATTACTCCAGTCTTCAGTGTCACGTGATCTTCAGAAATCAGTATAATATGCTGATTTGCTGCTCAAGAAACATTTCTGATCATTATCAGTGTTGAAAACGGTTCATATTTTTGATACATTTTTCAGGATTCCTTGATGAATAGAAAGTTCAAAAGAACAGCATTTATCAGAAATAGAAGCTTTTGCAACATTAGAAATGTCTTTACTCTCATTTTGATGAATTGAATGCGTCTTTACCGAATGAAAGCAGATTTAGGTGAACTAGATGTTTGATCCACCACAGAACAACAGAGACGGTGAAGGTTCTGGAAATTGACGCCGTACCTTGTTTAGATGGTGATCATTGAGGATGGGGAAAAAACAGACTTGTGGGAGTGTGTGTTAATTTCTTTGACTTTTGAGCGGTCATGTAACAGCAGAGGTTCTGTTGATTGTTTGCAGACGGCTAAACGGCTTCCCTGGGTTTCGCTGACGTCCCCATCGCTTCACTGAAGATGGACACACTGGAGTCAGAGTTGACTTGCCCAATCTGTCTGGAGCTTTTCGAGGATCCTCTGCTGCTGCCTTGCGCCCACAGCCTGTGCTTCAACTGCGCCCACCGCATTCTGGTGTCCCACTGTCCCTCGTTCGACGAGTCCAGCAAACCGTTCTCTGCGTTCCAGTGTCCCACCTGTCGCTATGTCATCACTCTCGACCAGCAGGGTCTAGACGGCCTCAAGCGCAACGTCACTTTGCAGAACATCATCGACCGCTTCCAGAAGGCGTCTCTGAGTGGCCCGAACTCGCCGAGTGAGACGCGCCGCTCCAGCCGTGATCCGTTCCCCTCGGTGGCGGTGGATGACGGCAGGGTCATGAGTTCGCCGTGCGAAGCCGTCCAGTGCCAGTTCTGCGAGCAGGACCCGCCGCAGGAGGCGGTGAAGACCTGCGTCACCTGCGAAGTTTCGTACTGCCAGGAATGCCTGCGTGCGACTCACCCTAACAAGAAGCCCTTTACGGGACACCGGCTCACCGAACCCGTGCCGGACTCGCGGCTCAGAGGACTGGCCTGTCCCGAGCACGGAGAGGAGAAGGTCAACATGTACTGCGTGACGGACGAGCAGCTGATTTGCTCGCTGTGCAAACTGGTCGGGCATCACCGCGAACACCAGGTGGCGGCGCTGGGAGAGCGATTCGACAAGCTGAAGGTAAGAAATAATTATTATCGTCCAACATTGAGTCGATCGGGAAGGGCTGCACAATTTCTGATAAAAAAATTGCAATTGTCATTTAAAACGTGATATAATAAGAATAATTTACATTGCGGTAAGAAACAATTTTATTACACAATTTGGGGAATTTTCTGATTAAAAATGGAAGAGTTCAGATGCAAAAGCCTCTTAAGTACGTCTGACGTTTTTCTTTAAAATTAGCATTTCTTTCTGGCTACTATGTATAGGTTTCTATGTAAGTACTGGTTCTTCTGAATGGGTTGCGGCTGGGATTTAGCGCATTTGAAGTGAAAGAACTTGATGAACATATACTGTGTGTGGAGAGCGTTCACTCAGTATCGTTATCTCATTTTTGACCAAGATGGCTTTTAGAGGCTTTTGCATTGCAGTTGCAATAAAACAATAATAATAATACAATTCAAGTTTGCTGTGCTTGTTTGTAGGGCTGCACAATTTATTATTATTATTAACAACAGCAATAATAATTATTATTACTAAATAAAAACTAAATAAGAAATATTACTATTGTAGTATTTCATGGTAAAGAAAAAAAAATACATTGCAGTAAGAAAAGGTAAGAGACAGTTTTCCAAACTGCGATTAAAGATAAAAATAAGAATATAAATATTACTTTTATTATTGTTAATAATAATAATTAATTAATTATATATATTATATATGTATATATAATTATAATAACTATAATTAATTTAAGATTACTTAAACTGTTTAAGTTTTATGCATTTATTGCATCATCACAGTTTTTGAATATAAATTTGTATTAAATGTAGCAAAATTAAAACCAACAACACAGAGTTTCTGGAGAAATTTTTTTTTTAATAAATTCTCAGATTGTTAAAGTTTTATGGATTCCTTTGATTAGACATGCTTTTTGAATTTGGGAATAAATACAACAAAAGGTTTTTGTTATGCAGGTGAGATTGCTGATGTTTTCTTCATATACAGTGCATTGTTAGTACTCTAAATTCTGATTGGACGAGCTGCATTCAAACATGCTTTTTCTGTCTTTCGCTGTTCGGTCATGACAGAAATGTGTAGGCCAACCTGGCAGGAGAATTCACCATGGGTTCCCTCGGGTACTTCATGTGGGTTTTTATAATAGAGCTTTTCTATTTAGGAGTCAAATAAGGTCTGTGGTTAACATTCCTTCATGTTTTGTTCTACAACAGAGATTACAGTCCGACCTCAAAGATGAAGTTTGAAGTGTGCTTTTAAAATGCACGTTGCTTTATAAGAACTGCAATGGTTATCTGATATGAACACAAACTCACATCTTTATGATTCACAACCGTTATTGTAAAGACACTCCTGACATATTGGCTCAGAAATACTCATTCTCTTCCAGGTTTTAGGACCACAATCTCAACGGCTCTATTAAGGCCAGGTTTATATGTTGCTTGCCAACTTTTAGGCTTACAAACTATACTTCAGGACATTTTTCTGGTATTTGTATTTTATCGTATATGCCGGTATTTTATAAAAACAATAAGCTCCTCGAGAATTTGTGTTCATAATATAATCAGGCTTATTGGTTATTACTGTTTATTGCTATATATTCATTACTATATATTAAATGGAAATAATATCTAATTTTATATATATATATATATATATATAATATTAATA